ATATACCACCAATGTCACCACTAGCACTACTGCCCCTGATACTAGTCCTTTCCCCACTCCTGTGAGCACCAGTGCTACTGGTCCTGTCAGCACCATTTCTTTCCCAACAAATACCACCAATGTCACTACTAATACTACTGCCCCTGATAGTACTTCTCTCCTTACTCCTGTGGACAGTAATGCTACTGTTCCTGTTAGCACCTTTCCTTTCCCAACAAATACTACCAATGTCACAAGTACTACTGCCCCTGATGCTACTTTTCCTACAACTTGAGCACCAGTGCTGCTGTTACTATCAGTACCATCCCTTTCTCAAGAAATGGTAATATCACCACTGGTACTACTGGCCCTGATACTCGTTTCCCTTCTTCAGTGAGCACTAGTGCTACTATTCTTATCAGAACCATTCTTTTCCAAACACGTTATTTTGGTGAATCCACCCGTGCTATGGTTCTGGTGCAATCAGTCTTTTCAATATAAGCAGTATTATTTCCATTACTCGTATTATTTTCCCTATATCCATGATGAATTTCCTAGCAAGTACTGCTTATCTTATCACTAGTACTCCTGCTCCTGTTACAACTGCTTTTTTCTATGCAGATGCTACTGTGACTAGCACTGGTGCTACTTTTACTATCACAACCACTTCTTTCCTAAGTACGCTTGATGTCACAACTACTACCTCTCCAGACACAACAATTCCTTTCCATGCAAGTACTAATGCTGAGAAAATTAGTACCACCCTTCTGTCACACGCATTCCTTTCCCAACAAATACTATTGATATCACCACTAGTACCACTGCTGCTGATTTAGATGGTCTTGTCTCCACAAGTACAATTACTGCTAGTAACCATGCTACTCTGCCTATCATGTGAACACTAGTGCTACTTTTCTTTACCAATACTGCTGGATCTAACACTAGTACTACAGTTCTGAATGCACCTACATCTCCACTTGCTACTCCTTCTTTCACATGTATTTCTTCTGCTAGTGCTAGCACTACTCTTTGTATTACTAATGTTACTTTCTTGTCAAATAATACTAATATTAACACTCTTAGTACTATTCATAATATCATTACTCTTTTCCCTACAAATGCCAGCAGTAATACTAATGCTTCTCTGATAATCACTTCCTTTTGTACTAGTACTGATGATATTAACCATAATAATATACTTCCAATTACAACTATTTCTTTTATGAGTATTAGTGCTGATTCTACTACCAATTGTTTTCCCCGAAAGTACAGATGCTATGAACACTACTGATGTGATAACTGCTCCTACAAGTTCTGATGTTGCTAATACTACCACTGATGTTTCTACTACAAATTCTTCTTCCCTTATTATGTCTGCTGGTGATGGCCCTAGTAGTGCTGTTACTCCAATCACTACTGTTTTGACCAGTACTCTTGCTTCTAGCATTAATAATTGTCTTTTTCTTATGACTGATTTTTTTCTTCAAGTATGAGCCCTGCCAGCACTGGTAATATTGTTCCTGTCGTGACTACTTCTCTTTCTTCAAATACTCATGGTATCAGTACAAGTAATACTGTCATTGTCATGACTACTGAGTATGAAATTGTTCCCATTACTCCTACCTATACTATCACTTCTGTTCTAAAGTCTACTACAAATAATACCCCTACTATTGATACCTACTGATTTTACTACCTATACTAATGAAAATACCACTAATTTCAACACTTTGGATACAAAACCTACCATGAAAATAGATGCTAACATTGCTACTACTGCAACATCAGCCTTGAGCCACACAACACTAATTCTCACACACAATGCTAACCCAGGCATCAGTAGTACCATGGCACAACCATTTCAGCCACTACTGTGGAACTGTGGATATATATATATATATATATATATATCCCTGCTACAGACTTCACACATAATCTCAGAATCTCAGACACATCCACATTAGGCTCCAAACACTATTGCTACAGATGTAGTTATTGAAAACTCAACATGTTTCTTGAGTTACAAGACATGATACAATATCTGAGAGCAGTATGATGCTCATGGAATTAAATCACCTCTCCAACAACAGTTATTAACATAACAGATTATTTAATTGCTGATGCTAAAATAGCACTTTATTTTCCTATAGACTTTTCCAAATACCAAGGGTACCTGTGTCATAATTTGTCATTACACACACTAAAAGTATTATTGCCTCTGAAGAGACTCTAGCTTTTGCTACAGATATGGAAAATGCTACCACTGAAGATTTTGTAAATATCTTGACTTCGGGCACTGAAATAAAGAGATTAGAAATATAACATTTTGTACTATAATTGAAAATAAAAATATGATTATAGATATTAAAAGCATAAGTTCCCTAACCTTGTAACCATTATATTCATAGGTAATACTTGTAACATTATTACAGATTTGATATGTACAGGTTGAGTATCCCTTATCTGAAATGCTTGTGACCAAAAGTGTTTCAGATTTTGGATTTTTTAAGATTCTGGAATATGTGTTTATATAATATGTGGTATCTTGGGCTAGAACACAAGTGTAAATACAAAATTCATATATGTTTCATGTATGCCTTATACATACACACTGAAGGTAATTTCATACAATATTTTTAACTACACAATAAAAAAGTTTCTTGGTATGAAATTTTTTACTTGTGACACCATGTCTGTGCTAAATAAGTTTTTGATTTCAGATTTTCTGATTATGGATGCTCACCCTGTTCTTCTATTTACAGACACTAATGCAATTCCACAACACTAAAATTAATTTTAATTATGAAAGAGATTTAGAACCTTACTGTTACCACCAATGCCTGGCTCTTCATCTTCTATGAAACAGGAATCACGTAGACAGAGATAAAACTGAGGATATATAGCCCAGGATAGACAGTCTCTGCCCTGGAATCAGAGTTAGTAACCTTGTTTGCTTCCTCTTTTATCTACCAATTTTTCCCTTATTACTTTACTGCCACGGCTCTCTTTTGTGTGTAAGGGCTTTCCCCCATGTACTTGGTCTTTCTGATTCAAACTCATTTACTTTTGATGTCTTAATTCCTAAGATCACCCAGATCCCCATTGGTAGATTCTTGATCATTATTAAATCTAGCCAGCTGGTTTCTATTGAAAGTTTAACACTAGATTAGTATTCTCCAAGTGTAGAGAAGGAACTTGTAGGTGTCCCTAGACTGTTCCTGGGATAAAAAAAAAAGTCAAATATATTTTCAAAATACTAAGTTGTTATTAGCCTTTTCCACTGCCATTCTTCCATTAGTATATGGTGACATTTTACAGAGACTCTATGTTATATGCTGTGACAAAGGCAGCATACAAAAATCTAGCTTTCATCTATCATGGAAGATAGTAAACTGTTTCACAAAATGTAGAATAACGCCATTCTTCTTACCTTTTTTGCTTTGGAAAGTATTGTTAATTTCAGAAATATTTATGCTAACGTAGTATATTGTTATTATAATGAATAAAATATTTTACAAATGACTTAATTTTAATTTCTAATGGTATCTTCACTTATTTTGAATGCATAGGGGTCCTGAAACCAGAGTTTGAGAACCACTTTCTTTGGGGAATAATATCCTTTTTCCCACTCTCAGGTCCTGATCGCGTATACTCTGAACTTCCCCATCGTGTCAGAACTTCCGCATGTCTGCCTCAGCATGACTCCTACCACCTTCCGCAGACACATCTTTACAGCTTTCTGAAGTGACTTTGTAGCTGTATATATTGTCTGAACTGTGTGATGTCCACATGCATAACACAGACTCACTAGTTAGCTACGTTATATCTGCCTCATGGAGTCAGCCCATAAGCTACAGCCTACAAGCTTACAATTGGAAGGCTCCTAGCTTGACCTCCCAACTCTGAACAAAACTCATTATTCTAAGGACTTGATCATGAACTCTTTCGCTTGTACCTTTACCAAGGGTCACCCAGTGTGCTTGTCTCCTTGACCTCACAAATGCTGATGTGAGAAAAATTACATATTTCCATCCCCTGTTGGACACTTGCGGTGCTGCAGAAACTCTTGAGCCCGTAGGTGACACAGTAGGGAGCAGAGTATGAACAAAGTTCACCCAGGGGCTATCGACTGAGCTCAGTGGTGGAGGACTTGGCTAGCACACATGAAGTCCTACATTCAATCCCTAGGGAGGCAATAAAATAAAAAAGTAAAATAACATAAGAAAAAAAATCTACCAGGATCTCATCATCAAAGTTCTTAGGAATCCCACATTCTTAAGTATGTAAACCATATAACCATGGAGATGGGGGCCAGGACCTTGCCTGGAGAGTTATGAAGGCAGAGAGGACCAGTGTTGCCACAGTGCTGGGTGCAGAACCAGGGGAGCAGTTAGACTCACAGAAATTATGCTCTGGGGGAAAATGAGCTTTCCCGAGCTGGAACAAAATGTTTCACTACTAAATTAGATAGTGGCCATCTCTGTTCACTTTACAGAATGTTTAACGGATGCACTTATCCCAATTTTATGATATTTTTCAGTGGTTTTCTTTCTTTACCTTTTTAGGTTTGCTGCTAATCATATGTTGTCTCCTAGGGAGCTCTGGCTCAGAACAAAATGTATGAACAAATCATGGAAAGAATGACTTTGCAATGCAAATAGAGTTTACTCATATTGACTGTGGGTTTTGGATGACTATGCATAGCGTTTCATATGACAAACATCATATTTCTGCCAGCATAGTTTTCTTTAGTTTGTGTGATGAACGTGAATGTATCAGTGCTCCCTTGTGCTCTCCTGAGGTGCTATTATTTGCAGAGATACCTGAAAGCCTTTAAGTCCTGCAGTCCAGACAGCCCTGGTCACCTCCCTCCCTGGCACTGGGTCGCTGAGTTGCACAAAGTTGACTGTGTCCAGCCTCAGCACAGATATATGCTCAGGACACTGTTGTTGCACACTTTTGTGCATATGATTATATTTTACTTATAAAATATGATATAAACATTAGGACTTTTGTTGAGTTAAATCATGACATCTTCCACACAATGGTGTTATGGTTTATGTCTGTGTGTCCCCCCAAAGCCTCCTGCGGCCATGGGGCAGGCTTTTAGAGTTGAATGATTGTGGGTGTGAGAGCTACACCCACCCTGGGGTGGATAGTTTGCATATGTAAGGGAGAAGAAAAAGAGTGCTTGGGGCATTCCTCCTCCCGGATTCCGCCCTGGTGTGTGTGCTTGCTCTTTAGCTGTGGCTGCCGCCCTGAGATGCAGCCCTCTGCCACGTGCCACTCTGCCTTATAAATCATGCCAAGTACAGATTGAAACTTCCACAAACTGTAAGTGAAATAAACCTTTCCCTCCTTAATTTTGGGCGTCAGGTATTTTGTCCCAGCAGCGAGAAAAAAGTAACCAAGACAAATGGTTAAACAAGTATTTTATTTTATTTTTTTGTTTATTTATTTATTTATTTTTTGGTTTTTGGTTTTTCTCCGGTACCGGGAACCGAACTCATGACCTTGCACTTGCCAGGCAGGCACTTTTGCCACTGAGCTAAATCCCCAGCCCCAAACAAGTATTTTAGAAGTCCTCTTCCCCAGGGGCTGGGGATTTAGCTCAGTGGCACAGTGCCTGCCTGGCAAGCGCGATGTCATGAGTTCAACTCTGGTACCAGAAAAAAGAAAAAAGTCCCCTTCCCCATTTTGGTGCCGTGTATCAAATGTAGGGCCTTATGCATGCTAGATTCATGTGCTACCACTGAGTTACATCCCTAGCCTTAGAGCTCTTTTAGAAAAGTGGAGTTTTCTAAACTCTGGGTTCCTTAGTCATGTCACTAACTCACTGTGTGTACCATAACCACTGGTGTCCCATCTGCATCACCCCTGCGGGACTCAGGGGAAGAGAGCACCGATAGAAGCATGAAGCTCAAGCTGCCTGCTATATCTTGAGCCACAAAGTCCTTTGTCTTTGACTGAGGAAGACCCCAGCATCTGTGAAATGGTAGCAGGTTCTTTGCAGCTCTTAAAAGCACTGTCACTTGGGTGACACCGAACTTAGGCATGGTGATGTGGATCTGAGAGTTCCCTTTTGGTCATATTAAATTTGGCAGAACATTTAGCTATCTAAGTAGGTATTAAATAGATAGTCTGGTGGATGAACATGGAACCAAGAACAGGGGAGTTCTGGCTGGAGATAAATTAGACATCTGTTAACACACAGGTAGTATTTGAGCCATTGGACTACATTATATATTAACATGGGAGATCCAGAAAATTACACACATAATCTATTAGACCATCTTCTATTGCTATAACAAAATATTTGACTCTGACCATTTTCTCCTGCTATGTGTTATTAGGAGCCATGTGAGGTCCATTTGTCCATTACTGGTGAAACTAATTTAGTTACTTGATTGAGTTGGTGTCTGCTAAATTTTCTGATTTTAGCTGGTCAGGAAAATGCAGAGCATATGAATGAGAAAGGATGTTAAGTTCACCTCATTCAAAGTTATACCTCTTGTGGGAGTGTTCTAGACCATTTTACCAATGGTGTTTATTTAATTGTTCTGTCCATGTACATATGAATAATGTCAGTGCAACATTTTCACTATAGAAATATATCACTTTCCATAAGCAGATATATATATATATTTAAGGTGTGACTGAAATATATGGTGAAGGTTTAATTTTTTTTAAATTATAGTAAAAGACAATCTTCCTCAAAGTACTCCCACACTTCAAACACACTTCGTTGTTCTTGCCCCCTTCAGAAGGTATTCTGGAAGTGCTCTTTCGTGAGTGTCTGAAGTTGTGTTGTGATTCAATATGTTGAATCACTTCAATACATTTATTTTTCATGGGTCTTTTGACTTTGAGGAATAGTCAGATGTCACACACTGACAGATTCACTTAACAATGTAGATGATAAGACACTGTAATGTTTTGACAATCTTGCCTTTCTATTGGATAGCACCTGGCAACACACTCACTGTCCTTTGATCACACCTCTTAAAGACACTCATGAGACAGGACTTCCAGAACTGCTTCAGAAAATGGCAAGAATGAAGGGATAAGTGTATTCAAAGTAAACGGGAGTATTTGGCGGGGAGATTAGAGCCAAAGTGTTTTACTGTAATGAATATTTTTTTAAAAATTAAATATTCACTATATCTTTCTATCACACCTTGTAGTTCCTTCCTTTTTTCTTTTTGTTATATTAGAGACTGAACATAGGACCTCCATGCTGAGACACATCACCAAATCCTTTTTATAGTTTACTTTAAATTAAGGTCTTACTAAGAGTTGCC